CGACGGAACGTGGGGGAGACTTGTCGAAACTCCGTCGAAATGGGCTGCAGGCCAGAGCCGGGCTGCTCGTCGGATGGCAGAACGAGTGGCACAGGTACGACCTCCTCGCTCTCCTGCGGCACGTCAATGCGGGGAATGTTGACGGCGGACGGGCGGCGCGGCGATTCAGCATCACCGCATTCCTCAGCATCATTGACCAGAGGCTTCTCCTCGGGCTCGGAGACTTTCGGAGGTTGCTTCCCGTCGGACTTCTGGCCGCTGCCTTTCTTCTTGGGCTCCGCTTGGTCGGACTCCCCCGAGGTGTCCAGGAGGGGGAGGAACAGCGATCGCACGGCGCTCGTGAAGATCGTGGACGCCTCGTACCCCTCCCGGTCGCGCCGCCGAAACCGTATTCTTAGTCTTTTTGACATGATGGCTAACTACAGCGATCGCATCTCAGTTTTCTTTCCATTTAAGATCATTCCTCTTCTGACGTTTTAAGTGCAATACGAATGTTTTTTTTCCTTTGTCCATGATGCAGAGGTAAGGCGAATATCATATGGAAAGGATTTATATACACAGGTTCCACATAGTCTACCGAAATCTGTTTTTTGCCCATGGATTATTTATCAGTCTCGTCGCTTTTCAATTTCTAAGAAAGAGAGGGAAAAACACACACTGTTTCACCGTAATTTGAGTTCCCCAAAACACACATGCCACCAACAAAAGTTCACATCACTGTCAGTTTTTTTTCCATACCTGTTTTGCACGTATTCGCGAAACAAAGCCCGTACACCATGATGCTCACAACACAACTGGACACCGAGGAACACGAGCCAGCAGGTGCCTTTCAGGACAATGGTTCAAGTTTCCCCTTTCTAAGCGCGTGTCATCAACCTCCGTAGATATATTCTGGCTCACGCTTAGATAGACATTAGGTATGACCCGTCTTGGTAAAAACTCTGCACTGACTGAAAGAGCTGTGGCTGACACCGAGTTGCTGACACTGTTGCGTTTGCATTGCTGACGAAACTGCTGTTCGCCGCAACAGACGTGTCTCTTAACGATGAGCACTTGTTTGTTGTTGACGTATGATGTTAGCTGGCCATCCTCGAGTCATATTCTGCATTGTATCTTTAATAAATGTACATTCAAAAAGACAGTTTGACTACACACAAACACGCACACAGGGATATACATTATTCAGTTATATCATATGATACCATATCCTTCCATATCCACAAATTAACCTATGCAGCATACACCTAAAACACACACGAACAACCAAACCAAAACAAACAAACCATTTCATAATTTCTCAGAAGAAAAAAAAAAGAGATGCAGACAACAAACGCATTCGGAGACGAACAACGACACAGACTCACCAGCGACCAGCGACACTGCCCACTTCTCTCACACGCGCAAAGTCAGACCAACCTAAGCCAGCCTCAAATACACAAGATACTTACCAAATGCAAGGGCAAAGAACTGGCAACGTCGGGGAGGGAACGCACTAGTGGCAGAGCGTGGCAGAGCGGCCTAGCACAGACACGCGTCGTGCCAGTGGACGCTGTGCTAGAGATTTGCATGAAAATGACTTTAAATACTAAATCTCCGACGATCACATAAAGGTGTATAAGTAGTCATACGTCCAACTGGCACGGCTGTATAGTGTGTATTTTTGAGACAGTCGCCTCGCGTAACAAAGGACAAACACGCAAAACAAGAGTGGGTCCTGAACATGAGTGAACATATTCATGTAAAGAACGCACGCCGAAAAATGCATGTAAAAGTTCTCAGTCAGCGACAGGTGGATCTAGAAACGTGCTAAAACAGAAGCAGGAGACAGGAAAATAACGCACATACCTAGGTCTCAGACATGTACAAGGACGCACGCATGTGTCTGTGCATAAACAAATATGGCTCATAAGCTCACAAACATATAAAATCATCAATTGGTGAATACATTTATCTCTATATATCAAAACATACACACTGCGTGTGTGTGTGTATATTTTTGTACACACACACACACACACACACACACACACACACACACACACACACACACACACACACACACACACACACACACACACACACACACACACACACACACACACACACACACACACACACACAGACACACAGACACACACACACACACACACACACACACACACACACACACACACACACACACACACACACACACACACACACACACACGTACGTAAATATATATATATATATATATATATATATATATATATATATATATATATAATATATATATATATAAATATATATATATACATACATATATATATATATATACATACATACATATATATATATATATATATATATATATATATATATATATATATATATATATATATATACATATATATATATATATATATATATATATATATATATATATATATATATATATATATACAAATACACTCATGTATACAACATACATACATATGTACACACATGTGTGTGTGTGTGT